CATTAGGGAGGCTACCTGCATCACGTACCGTTACTGAGTTGAGTTTTTGAATATTTTGTATCCATCTCAATCCACCTCCTAGTTTCCATAAACAAAACCAGTGGTTAGCATACGGTCTATCAGCATGTTCAGCAACATTAGAGACAATTTTCTTATCAAGATACTTTACTACTTCTGCCTCTTCTTTCAAGGCATACTTGATTGGTCTATCATTCCATGGGATGTGATCAACTGTCCAGATCTTTGCCATCTTAATCATATCCACATCCAACCGCCCTCTCTCTTCATCATTAAAAGAGAATGCACCAGAAAACTCTTGACACACTTTGAAGACATATTCTCTCTCTTTAGGCAAGATGAATTGATTTGAACTTATCTTCATCGTGTCAAACCTTTCTCTGGTGACTCTACTCCCCAATTTCACAGACTCCCTTAATGCTTTAATAATTATCCTTTCCTTTTTCAGTGCCTCGTCATAATCCTTTTCAATTAGGATTGCCACTCGGTTCTTCTTTACTCCCTTGGGCTTGTACTTTCTCTTTGACTCAGTGGCTATATTCCTAAAAAAGGGTGAGTTGATGCAAACTTTAATTCCATTTTTCCGCTCTTGGCAGTCTCGACAACCTTCTTGAACGCTTCAATTTGTCCATCCTCATCTTTGAGCTTGCCAAGAGCTTTCGTCATCTTCGAAATCTGATTAATATCGACTGAAACTTCCTCCTGAACTTCCTGCTTATCCTTTCCTCTCATCTTTCTTATCTTTTCGACAACTTCTCCCATTCTGATTGAATTAACTGACACCTTATGCTTATGATGGTGAGAAGTACAATTTGTTACTGTGCAGTCTCCGGATCTTGCAAGCCAATACAGGATGACCCCTCATGACTGAAGAACTGGACAACTTCCATCCTGTGTAAGAATGACATCATTCCAACCTTGATAGGCAAATTGTCAATAAGCCCTGCTACGAAGAGTTGCCCAGCAATATTACTTAACATTTGCTTTGAGGGCCTATCAATGGTCAGGTCACACAAATCTCATTTTACATTCTGGTAAGGTCCTGTTGACTTAACTAGGAAAGATTGATCCCAAATAATTAACTTCTATATTTTTCTTATCAATTAATTTCTTGAGTTCCTCTCTCAACTTTGGCGCTAACGTCATTGCCTCTTTGAAAGACAAAGTCACTTTCGTTTCTTCTAACATTTTTATAATTACATCTGTAATTACACCTCCATCTTCCAACTCACTCTTGAGGGTAAAAAATTTTTTCTTCCCTTGCTCACTCTTCTTAGATAAAGGTTTTGGTTCTTGATCATCAAGAATGTCAATTAAAGTCTCTTCGACCTTTCTTCTTTTCTTTTCCTCTATCATTTGTGGCGTAAAGCGTTGAAGATTCCTTACTTCTCCAATCACCTCGTCAGGTTCTATGATAAGTTTCGGTGGCAGATCACCCTCGAAAGACATCATGTTGGTTGAACAGGGGGGCTCGCTAGATGAAAACGCTACTATCTCAAAAAAAGTCTGAGAAGCAGAACTCTCACCCAACGATAGTCCACTCGGAAAAGCATCGTCAGACACGCCTCCCAGTAAAGTTAGAGACTGTAGAGGCAATTCGACCAATGAAAAGGGATTATTGGTTTTCTGCAGAAGCTCCTCGGGTAAGTCACCAATGAGGAAGTGAACATTCACATTGGCTTTTCTCTTCTTCTTTTCTTCATCTTCTCTTCGTGTTGAAGGGCAAGAAGTCTCATACCTCCAGGATGTCTGGGATCCAATTTGTTCCATGAACTGTCACAGACATGACCCATTGCATCCTTTTAGCCACTCCACTCTTCACATCCTCTTCCAGCGGTTTACAGTAAGTGGTAGTATGACCTCCTTCACCACAATAATAACAGACAAAGTTTTTCCTTGGACGTTCATCATAGTTTCTTCTCTTTCGGTTCTCTTTCCCACCATTCCCTCTGTTTTTCCTTGACTTGGAGGAATCTCCTCTTTTGCCATAATCATCATCATCATCATCATCTTCCTCATCTTCACTCTCAACCTTCTTTTTCCCTTTCTCATCTGCAACATGATTAGCAGGCATATAATTGACCATAGTTGAATGAGATTCTCTGCACTCAAATTGTTCCCTCCGTTCATACCATTCTCAGTCTCCCAGTCTTTAGCCAGCGTACTGATCTGATCCACTCACCACTTATTGTGTGAAACCGTAGGCAGAGTTCTGACTATTGAAACGATTTCGTCCCATCTAAGAGGATAGTGTTGAGCTTGATTGAGAACAATCTGCCTCTCATTATCTGTGAAATTAGTCAAAAAAATATGACACCTTTGAGCCTCATCCAAATATGGGATTCTCTTGGCTGTTCTGATGAAAGTCTGAAGGAAGACATTGAAGGTGTCATACTTGGCTCTTTTGATGTTGAGCAGATCTTTGGTAGTGGTTGGAACAGAGTCTTTCTCAAATTCCCTCTTCATCCTTTCTTTGACTTCTTCCCATGTTGTAGCCCCTTCTATAAACTCTTGAACAACCAACCTCGAGTCAATATCACAATAAGATAGAAGGTGCTTGAGTCGTTGTTTGTCCGTCCAACCATAACCGAGACAAAATAACTCATATTCATCCAAGAAATCATTTACCTGGGGTCCTCTAAAGCATGAAATCCTCTCATCTGGACTTTTTGCTCTTGCAATATCTAACCCTCCGTTTATTGTGTCAACCCTTTCGACCAGTTCTCGTATGACACCAATCAGAGCCTCTTCGTTAGTCCCTACAGAAGAGTTAGGTCTCCCTCGTCCTGCCATTTTAACCATAAACCCTTCCTTAACGTTTTCTCCTCTCTTCTTGTCGCTCTTGATTTCTTCTTCCCACTTTCAGTCCCTTACTCTCAAAAATAGTTGTTGACGCTTTGTTAAACTAGATTGTAACCCAACTCCTTTGTGCCTAATCATTCCTGATCAGAACGCGTAGGACGAAGAGTTGGATACGATGAAGGGTTTACACAACTACTCCATTCATTCTCCAATCGGTATGGCACCTAACAAGCTGCAGTATGGCTGGCAGATCTGAAACCCTCTTTCCTACTTGTTCTCTGATCGATCACCTGGTCGGACTCTTAGCATGCCTGGTTATATAGTCAAGTAACAACTCATGCTCAGACTTGCCATTGCAGCAATCAGCTTTCCAAGAAGGAGATTATGTATGGGTAAAAATGTCCGAGGTTTCGGCTGGAGTATTCCGTAAACTTCCCCCTCTATATTATGGACCTTGGCCGATTCTAAAGGTTATGGGACACGAAGATTTCGTTCCTTCGTATGTGGTAGACATGCCACTTCATTTGCGCACATATCCAGTCTTTCATGCTTTTAAACTCTATCCCTACACTGCTATTACCTCCTTTCCTAATCGTGATTCTATGGTCCCCCGTGCTATTGATGGCGATCATGAAATTGACAGAGTTGTTGCACACTAGGGCAAAGGACAGTTCAGGTTCATTTTCTGTATCATCTGCTAGACGAACTCTATCGAATATCTCAGAGAGTCCTACTTAAGACTGCACCCAAGTAGTTAACGTATACAAACATCTCACTGCTTATGAATAGTCAGTAGCACTCTTTGCATTCACTGCCTACCAATGCATTTTGCAGGGACTCTGATTGAGTCTACTCGCTCGAAGGGACTCACTCTTGAGGGAGGGGTTATGTAATGACCTGCAAAATCACAAACTGAGAACTCTGCTGTCTTATGAGTTTTACCGTTGAACTGTATGACTCGCCGAGATCCCTGCATTCTGCTGAGATTTCCAAGTACGTGTGTATGCATGATTGCTGAGTTTCCGTGTGTTTGGCTGACTCCATCATTGGGTGTGTGTGTGACCCGCCAGGGTACTTGTATGATGGAAAGGCGCTCGGTAACTTACCTGTGGTCATGCTTTTGTGGGGATGCAGAGGGAACTTAGAAAGCTGGCTAGGCCCGCATAGGATGGAAAACACATAAGTAGCGGGTAGGTAGGTAGAAGAAGACAAAAAGTTAGTACCTTTAGATGCCAAAAGAATTTTAGAGTCCAGTGCTGCAATGTCAAGCGCTCGCTGAGTGGCGCCCAAATGAGGAAGAGCTCTTTGCTCTTCCCAAAGTTATACCGGCCTACTTCTGCCTCTTCAAACGTTGACTTTCCAGGCCGCACGACCTCCCAAACTACCGGTACCTTCCCCGTTTTGAGGGAAAGATCATTGCAGTCTGATATCCCTCACTGCATGCCCTAGACTCAGCGCAGCTTGGCCCTCCTCCTTGGCTATGCTGGAGAGGACCCAGGAGGAGACTCCGGAGACGAAGGAGTGGGAGGACGAAGGCGGTGAGAAAGGAGGAGAGTGGCGAGATGCTTACCTGGCTATGGTGGTCTGCATCTTCATCTTCTAGGTTGGCGCTGCACCTGGAAGGCCCCAGTTAGGGTTGGCTTCTACAAGGAAGACTTCGGGGCAGTGAAAGGCATTACAGCCATAATAGGAAGGACACATGTGCTTTGCGTTGTCCTTTGGACATTGCAGCTTTGCTCCGTTACTCCGCCATAGCCACCTGCTTGACTAAGGAGGAGGAAAGTGTATGAGCTGGCAGTGAGGAGAGGATTCGAACATTGGTTCTGGTTCATTCTTCCTTGTTACTATTATTATTATTGTAAAGAAGAAGAAGGGGGAGTAAAACGAGGTTGGAGATGGTGGCGAGATGGAGGGGGATTTGGCATTGGTCTTTGCTGGTGTACATCTCCTTCTTCTTCTTCCATTCTCATTTCTCTATCGTGCTTTGTCTATTTCTCTTTCCAAGTTCTTCCATTTCAGTTGCAATTGAACGACATTGTCTTTCTTTGAGTTATTGCACTCCAAGATAGCCAGGATCATAACATAGCACTGTCCTGCTTGTTCTCACACCAGGTTCATCTGGATTTAACCCCCCCCCCCCAAAAAAAAAAAAAAAAAAAAATTGAAGGTATGAGAAATACCTGAAAGAAGACGACGCCTGGCTCGTGCAGGTGGAAGAGATGAGGAACCCACTTGGATAGCTCCTTCAGATATGTGGCGTCATCACATTCGTCCTCAAGCTCAACATCATAAGTGGATTTCATTTTTGATCGCCATGGGTAGTTCTTCTCTCCATGCATAGAAAAGGTTATCACCCTTGGATCACCTTCAAATAACGCAGCTGTCCCATTCCCCTAAGAGCATCCATAAGGACATTTTGAAACACGACGTTATAAATACAAATAATGACATCTTCATTGCTCTAACACAGCCGTTCCATTCCCCTAAGTGCATCCATAAGGACATTTTGAAACACGATATTATAAATACAAATAAGGACATCCTCATTGCTCTTAACTTCTTAAGGTTATTTTTATTATTATCAATTTATCAAATTATCATGGTATTTGACAACTATTTTATTGCAAGCACTGCTAGTATTAGTAATTTAATAGTACTGAAATAAATAAGCCATGGCATTCCCCTTCAACCCAAGGTGAAATTGTATGCCTTTTCTGCGCAAAAGACTGCATGTGTAAAATGCTAGAATGTGTTTCTTGTGCTCATAAGGGAACATGCAGCCATGGCCACCAACCCACGCCCACAGGGAGTCCGACCAACACAACAAAAAGACAAAGCACTTCTTTTGCCGAAGGGGTGCAGGGCAATGACATGCACCTTGGTGACTTGGTGGGAGAAAAAAGGTGGAAGTGCACCGAAGTAAGCGGGAACCCACCCACTTGGGAGTTCAAAGTGGAAATAGCAGAACTGAGAGGGGAAAAAAAAAACAAACAGAAAACAACAAGAACAGGACGAGAGTTTGTTGCCCCCCATGAGAATCTGTAAAATTTAACATTTGGGAAGGCCATCGTATGGCCACCCTCCCGATGTGGAGGGAATAGAAAAGGATGAAACGAAAAAGAGGGGTAAGCTTTCCCTAATCAGTTTTTGTGCCGAGGTGACTGACATAACCCGTAGAGACAAGCTGGGAAGTTCTTTATCGACCAATCAAATGGGACACCGATTTGTCACATTGTGATCAGGGAAACATTTCTGGTGTCGGTATAGCTCGTACAATCCACCCACGCACACAAAGCTGTGGGAACATACAGCACACAGCCGGAAGACGGTAAAGAAGAGAGTGCAAACTTACAAAGTGATGAGCACTGGTGCAGAGTTGCTACATCAGTCAGGGAGCCCTTTTCTTTTTTTTTCGGTGTTGAAATTGACCCCAACGGCTGATCCTTTGGGTGGCCCAGGCATGCGCAGCCCGGGCCGGGCATTAGATGGTAGAAACGACGTCCACAAGAGTGTTTTTCTAGACGTCCAAAATCCTGGAAGGTTCAAACCGCAGACATCTGGCTGGACATCTGGCCGTCAGATTGCCTGGTTGGTCCTGGAGAATTTCAGGAATTTTCTGACCGATGTATCTAACCTAAAAAATGGCCACATTCCCTTCAAAGAAGTTCAAGTATGATGAGTACAATGTACATCCTCCAAAGAGTGCAAGAATGAAGGTTCTGGGCTCTCCTGGAAACATGTCAAGAAGAATCCAGGGATCCAGTTCTCTGCAAACTTCTAGACAGATATTTACTATTTACCATACTTGCGGTGCACTGGTGCGGTGCGCGATGCGGTGCGGTGCGCCCTGCGGAATGCGCGCGGTGACACTGCGCGCGCATGTGCACGCACACGCGCACGAGGTGCGCCGTGCGCGCAGCGCATGGGGATGCGCTACCCCTGCAAGGATGCGCACTGTGCGCCATGCCATTTTTCGGCATGTGTGTGTGTGTGTGTGTGTGTGTGTGTGTGTGTGTGTG